AGCCACCTGTTGTGGGTTCTAGGAACGAACTGCTGATCAATTTCTCCAGCTCACGAATTTCATTCCTTTTAAGCTTAATATTCCATTGCGTATACATACTGTATTTCTTTTATCCATTTACCCATCAACGAACATGTAAAATTGTTCCTGTCTTTGGCTGTTATAAACAATGCTACAATAAATGATGTCCCCCCCGACCCTTTCTTTCAACAGGGTTTCACTATGTAGCCCTGGCTGGCCTGGAACTTATTATGTAGACTAGGCTGGCCTCAAACTCAGAGATCCACCTGCCTCTGCCTCCCAAGTGCTGGGATTAAAAGTGTGCGCCACCATACCTGGTATACTGCAGATGTCTTTAAACATAGCTTTCAGTTTCTTTGGATATATACTCAGGGGTGGTTGCTGGATCATACAATAGTTTAATTCTAGTTTTTTGAGGAATTTCCATCTGTTTATACAGTGGCTAGACTAATTGACATTGCTACCAAGAGATACGGGGTGTTGTACTGTGAAGTGTCTCCCACGGGCTCTGAAGCTGGTGGTGTTTTGGGAAGCTGTGGAACCTTAGGGATGTGTGGAGCAGCTGGTGGAAGGAAGCTTATACCATCCACTCAGGCTAGGCACCCTGCCTCCTGTTCTGCACCACACACAGCTCCTGCTATCCTGCCTTCCTCACCATGATGGGCTGGATCCTCTGAAACTACGACAGAATTGGCCTTTTCACTCTTGTTTCGGTCTGGTATTTTGTCAGTTATGAAAAACTAAAACACTGTTCCCCTTTTTCTTTTTCTTGGGCTTTCATCCATAAAATCTTCAAATGTAGCAAGCTTAGCTGTCTGAACTGGCAACTGAACTTTCAGCAGATAGCACTCCTGCCTTACTGCCTATCTGGTTGATGCCTGACCCATCACTGTACCATTTTTCCTATAGAGATGTGAACCAACAACTCCTCACCAGATAGGGAACCACGGGACCAAAGAAACAATTCTACCCAAGTCTAGCTTGGTAAATCGGAGTAATTGGAGAGCATGAGGAGCCTACAGGTAAGCCACAATATCAGAGTGCCCCCCGCCCCCTAGCAACTGTTGACTGCTTACAAATCCCTTATGCTGCCTGCCTCACAAGCACCCCCCACCCACAAGGGAGCATTAATGGGCCTAATTCTGAGGTTCTTTGCTCCGACTTCCAAGAAGGCAACAGCCAAAGGACAACGTTCCACAACACTCACCACTCAATGTGCTTATGACCCAAACCACAGCAGAAGGAAAGCACAAGCACAGAAAGGGGGCAGATGTAGATGGGGACATGCTCTTGAAATAACCTTCCAACTAATAATAGCAAAGATCTGCAATCAACCTAAGCATCTACCAATGGATGAAGGGACAAAGAAACACTACTCAGTCGTAAAAAGGCATGAAATTCTATCATGGCAATATAAATGAAGCTGGAAGAGATCATGTGAAATACAGTGTGCACAGCACACCAAATACTGCATGACTTCATGTGAAACCCAGAGAAGCTGATCTCACAGAAAAAAATTACCAGAGGGTAGATGGGAAAGTAAGGAACATTCATTAAAACTACAGTTAGGGAGCTAGAGATGGCTCAGCAGTTAAGAACATTGGCTGCTCTTGCAGAGGACCTGGGTTCCATCCCCAGAACCCACACGGCAGCTCACAATAGTCCAGTTCCAGGGGATCTGACACCCTCTTCTGACCTCTGTGGGTATTACATGCAAACACACTTAGATACAAGCACAAGCAGGCAAAACACTTATACGCATAAAATAAATAAAAAAGTACCTATCCTGACTTGCCAATTGACTATACGCCTAAGGTGGGTTAATGTGTGGCTCCTTATTTAAAGTTACTAAAGCCATGGGCTTTACTTGGGAGCCCATGGCTGAGGCTTGAGGTAAATGTAAAGAACAAGGTTGCCTCTCCACATATAGCCCTTGGTGTCCACTTTTTAGAAAAGGCCAACTTCTAATAAATTATTCCTATAGGACAACACACCATTTACTTTTGACAACTGTAAACTGAACGAGGAAAAAAAAAGCTTAGCAGGATGTAACTGTACACTTCCCAATGCTCTGTAAAGGCTTATGCCTGTTGGCTTCACAAAACCCCCAATGTCTTGCTATGCTACCCATGTTTTTGGATGAAGATACAGGTTTGGAGAGCAGATAAGTTTCACCCAAAACTCACCAGTGACTAAGTGACATGAGTCTGGCTTTAAATCCAGAAGTTGGCCAACTTTGTGTGAAGAGCTCTAATTTAATATCCTATAGTTTCAAGAGCCATGTTTTGAGATCACCACCAGCCTATTCCATTACCTCACAAATGTTAGGCCAAGTTTTATTATTAGAGCAATTAATACTAGTGAGTAGATGTAAAATTGTGTGTTGTGGTGGAATTGTCAAATTCCTAGGTTGTGGTAGTTTAGGTAACAACTACTGTGTTTCTAAGATGGTTAACCTGCTGTTGGGCTAAGATAACGAAAGACCAACATTTCAGAATTCTGATAGTCTGGGATTATTTTCCACTTATGTAGCATTACATATTAAAACTATAAGGAAGATTTTCAAAAGATCTTAAAACCTGGAGTTCCTGAGATAGAGGAAAGTGCTGCCAATTATTCATGTCCTTTGCTATTTGTTTCAGGAAGCTATGAGAGCATTTAACCAGAAAGCTTGACCCAGCACAGGATGGGATCAGCACAATTCCTCAAGGAATTCGTCCTCAATTGAAATCAGAAAGGTAGAGAGCAGTGAGTTGCCAACGACATGAGCAACGGGGACCTGCAGACAAAGGGAAGATACTGTGCTCAAAGGAGGGAAGAGCAAAATGTCATTCCCAGGCCCTTCCAGAGTATGCTGAGATTCCCTAGCAGCTACTTTTAGTCTCTCCAGTTTGCTGAACACCCAGTACTGTCAAGTGTCTATCTTTAAAATACTACTTTAAAAATTATGAGTCTCTTGTTTTAGACATTTTTACAAGAGCCACTATATTGAGTGCCCAATTATACGCACTTCACAAATTCCTTATTTCATGTAATTTCCACTAAACCTTAAGTTTAGCACAAAATTTTCTGACTGAGAAAAACTGAAACCCAAGACCTCAGTGACACTCAAGGGTAGAGTGAAGTTTTAAATTCTGTCCATTTAACTGCACTACAAGGCCTCTTTCTGGCTGACCAATTCATTTTTTTCTTGGCGAACCTTTCTTGGGGTTACTTATAGGAGTAGGAGTTGGGAGGTTGCTTACAGAGCACAGATGATTCAAGCACAGCTTCGTCACTGAAAAGCTCAGCCTAACATGGGATGACTCATAAAAGCTGCAGCCATGAGCTCTCTGCAGATTGACTTGCAGGCAGCCCCAGAGCTGGGAATCTTTTTCAGGCAGCTGGGCTGGTCAAAAATCTCCTTACCCTCAATGCTTCTAGTATCTTGTGGAGGAGCCTTGTGAATATTTTAAGGTTCAGCTTTCCCAGACACATGAGGTTTCTTTACTTTCTGAGTCTCAGGAGCTTCCCCTTTCCAGGACAGAATGTTTCAACTTAAGAAATTGTTAAAGAACAGGTAGATATGAAAAAATAAACCAAACAGGGACTCAAAGACTTGCACAAGTATGCTCACAGTAGCACAATTCACAATAACCAAAGAGTAAAAACCCATGTCCATCAATGTGTGGAATGATGAATTATGGTTATGTTTATACAATGCCACAAAATAGAATAGAATTAAGTACTTGTATATACTTCAATGTGAAGTTTTTGTATCTTTAAAAAATATTTTATTGAAATTTTTATTTTTGTGTATTAGTGTTCTGCCTGCATGTATGTAAGTGTACCTGTGTTGTGCAATGCCCACAGAGGTCAGAAGAGGGCGCTGGATACCCTGGAACTGGAGTTATGGACAACTGCTAGACACCATGTGGGTGCTGGGACCTGGGTTCTGCAAGAGCAGAGCGTGCTTTTAACCACTGAGCCATCTCTCCAGCCCCGAGTTTTGAAATCTTAAAGGTTAAAATTTTTTAAATGTTTTTAATTCATTGACAATCTAATACAATGGATTTTGATTATATTCAGTTCCTCCGTCCATCTCCTTCCAGATCCACCCCTACACCTCCCTCTGCTCACCTGTCTTTTTTTTTCCTTCTTCTTCTTGAAGTCCACCGAGTCCAATTTGGGTTGTCCAAATACTCTTGGGTGTGGGCTCATCCCCTGGAGAGTTGGTTGACCATTCTTAAATGTAGGGAATGATGGCGTGAGGTCAGGGATTATTCTTAATTACACTGTAAAAACACATCTTTCAGAAGCATCAACATTACTCCAAGATGGTGGCAGCAGACTCAGTCTTCATAAATTCTTTCTGTTCGTCATTCTATTATGATGCCCTGAATAGGAAGCAAGAAACCCCTGGTAGGACATAGGTCCGTCTTGCCAGTCTGTTTTAAAGTTCCCTTAGTGGGTGACTGAAATGGGCAGTGATGTTATGTTCTGCAAGCACGGTCTGGCTGTACCACCTCCTTTCTCTGAGAAGTCTCCTTCTCTGTAACACTCTATTACTACACCTCCATTGCGTAAACCTCACTGCTCAGAGCCTCACCTTCTTTGAGAGGCTTATCCCGACTACCCTATGACTAACAACCTATTCCAATACTCTATGTTTGTGACTTCAGTTTATGTTACTTGTATCCATGCCAGAATGTAAGCTCTGGGAAGACATAGAACTTTGCTGTATATTCGTAAGACTCAAAGCACTTGCCTAAGTTTAGAATTACATTAAAATGGTGCAGCCTTTCAATACTAAGTCGTCAAATGTTTGCTGTTAGTCATATATGTGTACTGAAATTTAAAAATATATTTAATTATTTAATTAAATGATTATTATTTAGATAATAATTATTCTAGATAAGGCAAACAAAAGAGGTATTTGGCCACGGTAAAATTTTCAGTCAGTTTTTCCTTGGAAACTACCAACTGAATGTTTCAATATGTACAGCTTGTAACACAACTTTTATTAGAAAAGTTATACATAACATAGCATCAACTATTTTCAAGAACAATATTAAACCCAATAAGCGACAAAAACCAGACTAACAAAATGTGTAACAAGAAACTAATGACCTTTCTATAATCAAACATTCAATTATCTACAATGTCTTTTTACACAGGGGGAAATCCATGGTTTACAGGCACATCATATTGAAAATAAAACTGCAGTAGAATTTTATACCATTACTATTCTTAAGAAACTGAATCATTAAAATAGTAATTATGAGTCCACAAATTTAAAATATTTCACATAATTTTAAATTAATGGTATACACGGAATCTGAGTTTTAAAAGTGACTTTTTTTTTTCCCACAAAAGTGCTGACACTTAAGCTAGAACTTTCACATGATTTTTCCCTAAAAAGTTAAGACATGTTTTGATATTTATAATAGTCACATAATTTCTGATGCTATCTGGTCTGTTAATAATAAAGCCTTTATCTGGATGTTTTTCTTCATTTAAATTATAGGAAACTGGATATAGGTTTACAGTTGCAAAGCTAATAAAATAAAGTTCCAAACACAGGAGTGTGCAGCATTGGAAAGAGCTCAGAACTAACATTCATAATAAATATCAGAGAAGCCATGAGTTTTTACAGCACTGTTTGCTAAAGGCAAGTCAACCTGGGGGTATGATTTCTCATCAGTATGCCCTTTAACAGGCAGGGGAAATTTCTATTTTCATGATCTTATTTCACAAGCAAACATACCCAAGCGTCTCTTAAAGTGATCTGCAGCTCCTGGAGAGTCATGCCATTGTAACGTAACAAGTCTATTTCTGATCATTCCAGAGCTGCACTAACACACCAGAGTTCAGGACAGCAAAGTTCGTAAGACTCGAATGGAATGATTTCAGAACAGAATGCTTCCACCAAGCGAGCTCTTTCTGTAGTTGAAGAGGACCAGTCACAACACAAATTCACAAATTCTTGCTCATTACAGACAGAGACTTTGAAACATGATCAAGAAGATAACCCCTGCTGCTTTACGTACTATCTCTAAGTACAGTGGTTAACCAGACTGCCAGTTTATTGACTCGAGGACACTTTCTCTTCCTGTCAAGGGACTCAAACCACAGCTCTTTAAAGTGTCAGGCATTTTCCTAGGCAGTTTTCCTTTTCAACACAGTAACAGAAGACTAAGATCAAATGAGGACTTTTGACTGTTACTCCATTATTACATGTACCAATATTGCACACATCTGTTCTGAACTGCTAAAAAGAGTCTTCTGGGTTCTTGGGGTACTGTTTTCTCCACTGGAACACAAACCCAACCCACATAAGCAGTTTCCCTTAAAAGATGAAAAAGACAAATTAAAAACATTAGGGGGAAATGAAGAAAGAAAAGGCAGATTTTGTACAGACAAAACTCTAAAAAATTTTCTTAAAGGGTTTTGGGTGCCCTACGCACGGGGGCAATTTGTACGCACTAGTGAGTGATCACTAGCTCTAATGCCTCTCTAGCTCCTCAAATAATATGGAACCTTGGTCCAGGTGTTGCGATGATGTCACTGTATGGCTCTTCCTGGGTCAGCTCGATGGCTTGCTGCTTTTTAAGAACCAAAAAGCTGTAGAATTTTGCTGCGGCCTGCTTTCTGTTTGTGTTTCGACACAGCTCAAGCAAACTGATAGATTCAGCTCCAGTTTTAGCAAGAGCTCGCTGAAATAAAATAAAGCAAAACAAATGAACTACAGTAATGACACAATGAAGCAGTAATTGATGATGCCAATTTTGGTACTGCTAAAGGCAAACTATATTCTGTTGGGGGCTGGGATTAGGTTTTTCTTTTTTTAGTTATGATTCTCACATTAATAAGGTAAAGGCCCAAAACATATTATGGTATGTCTATAAGCAAAAGAAAAGTCCAAGAAACAAGCTAATTTGTTACAATATAATTATCTGTATCTGGAATACTAAGGATGAGAGATATGTTAACTGACATCTGCTGCTATGTTGGTTCAACACATTAAATCTGCTCAATCAAAAATACAAGATACACATGCACAAAGGAGTTTCCGAAAACAGCATCACAGGTCTACTTTCCAGGATGGCCATGGGAAAGCACTCTATCTGGATGTTTTCTAGGTTTACTCCTGACTTAACAATTTATATATCTAATTAAAATATTTTATCATCTGGAGAAATCTCCATAAAGGTTTGTTTTCTGAATCTACCACCGAACTTTTCTGAGAACGAACTTCTCGCTAGGCTGTGCTGGCATACCTGAAGACCATGAAGCATCTGCTGAGTCCTTTTGTTCCATCTCCTTTCTTCTTGATCCTGATCACCCCCCGAAGCATCTTCATCCTGAATAAATGATAAGTTGACAAAACTGCTCTGCTGAAAATGATATAGATATAGAAGTATCTGTATCCTGACAGCTCTTCGCTAGTGGCCTGAGTAACAGAAAATTGTAATCTTGCTTAAAAAAAGAAATCATCTGGCATCCAATAAGGACTTTGAAATTTGTCTTAAGCTCAAAAGTAAAGCAGTGGCAAACAAACATTTGAATGTACTGGTTCTACACTGTTCTATAAGGATGTAGTCTGCAGTGAAGTATATGAATTGCGAGAGGTCCCCCTGCCCTCCACCCCCAGTTAAGAACATATGCCAGGACATAAACCAGTGTTCCATTAAGTACAGTGTTTCAACTATAGAGGTGTAAATAAAATAAAGCAAAAGAAATGAATTAAAGCAACCCATACAAGGGCTAGAGAGATGGCATAGTGGTTAAGAGCACTGGCACTCTTGCAGAGGACCTGGGCTTGATTCCTAGCACCCACATGGCAGCTAACAACTGTATGCAACTCCAGTTCCAGGGGATCCAATGCCCTCTTCCAGTCTCCACTTGTATTGCACACATAGGTGCACTTATATACATATAGGCAAAACACCCATACACATAAAATTGAAATAAAGTAAACCACACAATAAAGTAGTAAATGAATGATGCCAATTTTGGTACTGGAAAAGTAAGTTAATTAATGTTGGACATGATTTTTGTAGTACAGTTTTCTAGGGGATTTATCACCACAGACCAGTACCATTACCAAGGAACCTGCATACTGTCGGGGACTAGTACTGGTCTATATATTAAGAGAAACAGGCTACAATTTTATACATACATATTTAACTTTATCCCAGCTGTCTAAATGACTTTCTGAACCCTCAAGATGCTAAGGGCCAGGAGTGTTCTCCTGCTGCACTGGTACTACACACCATGTTCTAAGAAGCCAGAGAGCTCAGCTTTACGTTTAACGGAAAGCATATACTGATTCAGGACTAAGTTTTAGATAATGGCACACTCTAGCAGAGGTTGGAGTGGTTGGAAAGCTGAATTTTGGCTTTAAAATAATGTAACACTTCCAGTAAAGGTAAGTACCTACTGTTATTGCTGACATGAAGATAAACGAGAACGATGAATAGTTGCTAATAGAAATGCATTCAATCTATAGTCTTGGAAGAATTTCTAACAGCTCTCTTTAGCTACTTGGTAAACATTTTATTTTAAAGGCAAAAGTTTAAACACATATGGCAGAGCATCAACAGAAAAGCAAATTCTAAGTCACACTACCTTAATGATCCAGAAATAAGAATTTTCAAAAGGCCCTTGAACAGTTAGAACACTCTTCAGAGGAGAAGGAAAATCTATTTCTAAAATGTCTCTACTTTTTGAAGAGTAAAAGTCCTTCAAATCTCTACTCACATGAGCCAGGACTTACTCTGGTCTAATTAAAACAAAACCAAAACACAGACAATGGAAAATGTCTGGTTATTTGATTTCTAGGCCACAGGCAGAAGAGGTCAACCAAACCCTGACTATACTATCAAGAAGAATTGACCACTGACCACAAAATAATAAAAAGCAGCTATAAGCAATTTAGAAGTCAAGGCAGTCCCTTGTCTTTCAAAAACTCCCTGAGGGAAGTGCATGAATACAGTGCAGCCTAAAATTTGATGTTATTTAATGACTTATGACACTACGAGTTAAAATTTTTATCCTATCTGAACATTTTTCATCACTCTGATGAAACCTTAATCAACTTAGCTCTAACATGAAAAGTGATAGCCTGGTGAAGTAAAGCTTTGCTAAATCTGGAATTTACCCATCAGAGCTTTTTCCAGTTTCCTTACCTCTTCCTCCTCTTCCTCTTCTTTCTCTTTCTCCTTCTCCTTCTCTTTTTCTGGCAGAAGCTCTAGCTCTGGTATTAGTTGACAAAGATTTGGAGGCTCTTCTGGGGGAAGTTCTACTGGTGGTATTTCCATTTGCTCTACCTGCTGAGGCTTAAGAATACAAAGGCAATTCAAGACAGGTCAGACAAGACCCACGCAAGCTCAAAGCAGACAAAAACCCAGCACAGACGTGGGAAATAGGTAAGAAGCCCCAACCTTAGCTAAGGAACTGTTGGTTTTCTTTAGGGTAGTGACACTAGATGGGTTGACCAGACTCCAGTGGATGAACTCAGAGGGACATTTGGGGACACAAACTTGGCTCAACAGGCCTCAAATAAATGATAGAATGCATGAAATCCATCAGGGGGATTGAGGGGTACAGACAGGGGAGGGAGTCTAAATATGACCAAGATATACGAAATTTGCAAAAATTCAATAAAAAAGATATAAGTTTTAAGGGTGGCTTCTTTTAAAATGTAAAACTGGCTGAAGTTTCTAGATAAAAAGATGTATTGGGCCTACATTTCCACACTTTTCCATAGCCAAAAATTGATTTTTCTTGCAAAGTAACAATATAAAGGAGATTCTGAAAGAAATTATCCAGTGCCCTAAAACTTCATTTTTATGCTTTGCAGGAATCACAAACATAACCAGCGGTATTTTAGAACATGGTAAAACAAAAAGTTTAAGTAGCTTAGTATTACTAAAGTTATTACAATATAACTTTGAAAACATTAACAAAAAAAACAAAAGTCTTGGACTACAGAAATGGCTCAGTGGTTAAGAGCACATACTATTCTTCCAGAGGACCTGAGTTCGATTCCTAGTACCCATGTTGGACAGCTCAGGGCAGGCTGTAACTCCAGCACTGGACTGGACCCGTGTACAATCCCACCCTCCACATATACACATAACTAAAAAAATAATAAAAAACCCACAGGGGACTAACAACCGTTCAAAACTCCAGTTCCAGGGGCTCTGACGCCCCCTTCTGGTCTCTGCAGACATTGCATGACATCAGTGAATTTATGTATATGCAAGCAGAACACTCATACATATACAATAAAAATGAACAAAATTCCCCTCGTTTGACAACACAAAACAAAAAGTCTTTAAGAAACCATCAGAAGGAGAGTACTGTTTGAGTCACCTATCTACTATCTGCTCCCTTTTCTGAGCTCAAGAATAATAAGGCTTACTGACAAGTCCTTAACTACCAGAGGGCACACAGAAAGTTCTTAAGGTTGGCAACGTTTTCCTCTATCAGTATTTCTCAGAGACTGAAACAGGAGCTCAACTTATCAAAAGGTCTCTTTTATTCTCATTAATTTATTCCCCAGACTTGAAATTGAGAAGGCCCATACCAGGTACTATTACTGCCTTCATACTGCCTTTTCTCATTCCAGCTGGCCTTACAAGAGTAAGAGTATGAAGGAGCCAGTCACTATTTCACTGTTTTTCAGTTAAGTTACAATGAAGTCTTAAAAACTGTCCAGTACGGGAAAGAAGCAGGAATTTGTATTGAAGAATACACCAGCACCAGGTTTAGAGCCACTGATGCCATACTGATTAAGGTTGCTCATTTTGGACCACTCTGAAGCAAGGCTGTTCAGAGTCAGGCAGGCTCTGCAGACTGTCAGCATCTTCTCCCACGTTCGTACGGTACAAACACTAAGCTCCCACCTGTGGCTATCATTCTTCTGGACCCACTTCCTTGCCATTCGCTGCCTAAATCAAGCTACTTCAAAAGGTCTCCTTAACTGCCACTTGCTACTAACTGCAGGAACACTGCCCAATGCTTTCCTTACAGGTATCACAGGCTCTGGGTCCAGTTGTCCAGCTTTTCGTTTAACTCCCTGAGGGGGTGGAGGCGGCATGGCTGACTCATCCAGGTTTGTTCTGCTGGCTTCCAACACTGATTCCTGGAGGCGGCTCGGCTCCTCCAAAATGGGCTCATCTGCCAATATCACAAGAAAAGAATTTAGTTTTGAACAGTATTTTAGAACAATTTACTTTTACTTAGTTACTTTTTCTAATGAAAAAAGGAAGTAAAATTTTACTAGGACAAAGATCACTTAATTGATAACAATAAAAGAGGTTGTGGGAAAAGTCTTAGAAGTGTTTTACTCCCAGTCCAATGCCAGACAACTGTTTAGTTATCATCCAGCCAATCTTGCCTTAAAGCTTTCTGAAGACAAAGCTTCTAATCCAGCTAGGTGAGGACAGCCTATGCATCTGTGACCCACAAACAGTGCTCATTCATTCTGCACTGCTATTATTTGAGAACATAAAGGTAAACCTAAGGCAAATAATTCATTTAAACTTCATCTGGAACGCTACAAACAGAACGGACCGATAACATCACGCTGCTGCTGCTGTTGTTGCTGCTGCTGCTGCTGCGGCGGCTGCTGCTGCTGCTCCTCTCTAGGAACTTCTGGATTCTCAAATTCTTTAAGGAACTCATCCAAATTATCTGCCTCTCCTCCTTTCCTCCTTTTTCTAAGGTCTTCTGGAACAAGTGGTGTAAGACAACGTGTGAAGAGCTAACAAAAAGGAAAAATAACAGCTATAAAATCACACTAACTCAAGATTCACTAACATTTGTAGTTTTCTATTTTCACTAAGGAGTATTTTAATGCCGCTTATAATCAGTATTCAGTATATGCATAATTTAGCAGTTTCCCTTAACACAGTCTCGGATTTCATTCCACCTTAAAATGATTTAAAATACGCATGTTCAATGTAACTGCAATCATTTTAGAAAAGTTGAAAATCACTTCTCTCTTATTAAATGCTAAGGTTTACATGTATTTTCTGCAGTTGTTTTCACTGTTGCTCTCAAGTCATCCCAACTGCTACCATTCCATAGTTTTACACTGTGCTCTTCTTCCCTTAATCGCACAGCTCATTATCACACGAAGTCCTTTATTAACGAGTAGGTCAAATGTGAGTATCTCACACGTGAAGAGCATCTCATCCTTGTTCTACTTCAGTGTTTCAGAGCCTCTTGTGTCCTGAGTAACAAATGGCAACATAATAAACTTCTCCACAGAAGTGTTTGTTACCATATTTTAAATGACTCGCCTAGGAAACATTTCTAATGAGCTTATTGAATCAAAGTACTTTTGTGGTTTTCATTAGTACATGCTCATTGTGGATGGAGGATTGTATCATGACACTATCACAAAGGTATGAGCTAGTCCTCCTTCTACCTTCCTGTCTTTCCCATGGTTTCTGGCCACTCAATCCCAGTGAGTTTAATGAGGGGTACATGTAGGAGCACGGGTGAGGTACTTGTACAGAATATGACTATCTTACAGTGGGTACACCACTGAAGAAAGCATCTCTTTCAAAAAAATAAATGATTTTTGTTTATTTTTATTATTTTTCATTTTCTGTGTAGGAGTGTATTGCCTGCATATATCTAAGTATAGTCATGTCGTGTCATGCAATGCCCGAGGAGGCCAGAAGAGGGCTTTGGATTCCCCTGGAAAAGGAGTTATAGATAGATGGTTGTCAGCCACCCTGTGGGTGATGGAAATCAGACCCAGGTCCTCTGCAAAAGCAGTCAGTGCTCTTAACTGCTGAGTCATTGTCTCCAGTCCTAGAATACTTTTATGGACCTTCTTGAAAATGACTGTATCATAGTGCCTCAAATAAGAGCAATTCTACCATAACCTTGCAGCCGTGGAGTACTTTATAGTAAAATATCCATTGTTCCCTGCACATTCAACTCAAAACACAGTAGCTGTCTAACAGCACTGTTTCACAGAACAGATACCTCTGAAATGTATTTTGCAGTAGTTTGGAACCAAAATGAGTTGAAAACTGCTTATTAGTGGGAAAAAAAGAAATTCCAGAAATCTGGAATTCCACCAGAGGAAATGAACACTTGAAGTTTAACCCAGAAAACAAAAGAATGCAGATCTGGAATATGAAGCAGAGTCCTCATTAAGACCATAAGCTAAGTTTACTACAGGAAGTTGAGAGGGCATTATTATTAAAATTGTTCTTTCTTCATACATCTTGTAGATATGCCACATCAATACTCAGGTGAGGTGATGCTCATTATATTATGATTTAAAGGAGGAAAAAAGAGAAGTACCACATAGTTGAAAAGTATTTGATCAAAAATGATTTCAGCAAAGGTTTTAGAAATTAATGTTTTTATAGAAGTCAAAATGTACACAAAGTAAACATGTCTGCCACTTTACTACCTTCAGTAGTCTGTTATTCCACAGAGGCTGAGCAGGTAAGGAGAAGAGTTTTTCCACTCCTCCTGTTTCTTTCCACATCATTAGCTTCTTGGTAGGAGGTGCCAGATCCAAAGTTGTAACAATATCAGAATAATCACTAAGTTGGGCTCTAATTGTCTTGCTATCCAACTCTTTGACACTGTCAACAATCAGCTTCCTCTTCCTCTTGGCTTTCGTTTCTTTGACTAGAATAAAACAATATAAGGTTATTTTCCTGAGACGCCAACAAGGAACATCCTCCTCCTGGACTTTGCTGGATTGGTACCTTCTGCTAGAATTTCTACATACAGATCCTGGTAGAAAGCCTTCAAGAAACAAGACTTCTGAACGGATGCTTTCTAAGCATTATTTAGAACAGAGCTGTTGAACAGAAATCTGCTGAATGAATAAATACATTCAAACTTAGCACAAAATGAGTAAAGAAATCCAAGGGCCAATACCTTGAAGCCCATGAAACTTTATACCATGAACAGCACACACCACACTTGACTGAGAGGTGAGCTAAGTCCTAAGTTCTGACTTTCTTAACAGTGGCCATTAAAAGCACCCTCACCTTGCTTAATTCTTATTTTGTTTGAAACAGGAACCATTACTTACAGGAGTTATAAAATACTCTGCATATAGTGCAATGCCTAGACTGGGCTGCCCAGAAATGGTTGTAAGAACTCTCATTTTTACTGGATAAGTTATAATTCATAAATGGCAGCTGCATGAGCTGTCTGCTAAAGGGAAAGAGAAACCCAAGCCAATCAGAGGTCTTGAGATAATGTCCTAGACATGGTTCATGTATCTGTTTTTAATCTATACCACGTTGCAAAGTTAAGTAGTACACTGCCTGTTTCAATAGAAACTTAAGATTAAAATTTATCACCTCACCTTGTCACATGTGCCATACCTCATGGTTTAACAATAAAGCATTCATGAGGCTAAAAAGCATAAAGACGTTACACTGTCAGTTTTTCTCCCACATCTGCCTAGCTACTGCATTCCCATCCCCCCAAATAAAACATCATGTTCTTTTTTTTTTTTTTTTTGGTCTTTTTGAGACAGGGTCTCCCTGTAGCCCCAGCTGTCCTGGAACTCACTATGTAGACCAGGCTG